CAGAAAGGCCGTATTCTGTCTCAAGGGGATTGTTTTCCTCATCCTGGAAAAGGCACACAAAAAGCACAGTTATCTTGCCCTGCCTTAGAAATACTCCACTAATTTGGGGAAGGGAAACAGATAAAATTTGAAGATGACTTCATGAGATTTTAATATCCAAAAAATAAAAAAAGCCAAATATCTTCTCTAGCTTTTCAACTTTATCTGTTCTAATAACAAACCATCCAAATGGAAGAAGCAATCCATAGTCTGAAGGGACCATGGATATATTAAGATCTAAATTAAGATTCTTCTGCTACTAACGCTGAATATATGCTTTCTCTGTGATGCAATATTTCCACTCCTAGGTAATACCCAACAGAAACACTCACCCAAAGCCTTATACTACAAAGTACTCAGAAGCACTATTCCTAATAACCAAAAATCAGACAATGTCCAAATGCCAGCAACAGAATGGTTAAATAAATGTGGAATATCCACACAAGTGAATTATACAACAATGAAAATGCATGAAATACACCTATACACAACATGGATAAATCTCACAAACAGAAGCTACCACAGTGTTTATAAGTATTTATTTAGATAAAATATAAAAGTAGGCAAAAATAATCTATGCTGCTGGACATCAGGACAGCCCAACACAGTAGCATGGGCCCTCAAAAGGGACTCCTGATTGCTGAAAAGATTGTTTCCTATTTTGGATGCTGATTTTATAGGCATTCATCAAGTTGTATGCTTGTACGCACTTTCCTGTATGTATGTTAAACTTCAGTAAAAACATTTTTAAATTTTTGTTTCTTTACAACTTGAATTTTTTAAAAAAACACAGTACTTACTGAATGCTTACTATGCACAAAATACTGCTATCATTTCATGGAATTATCTCATGGAATCATCACAGCAATCTTTAACATTTTACAACAGATTTAAAAAGAGGTTAAATATATTCCCTAAGATCACACCATACGTAGCGGAGCCAGGACTCAAGGCAGGTATAACACCAAAGCCCAAGCTCTTAAGCACCACCATAGACACAGCAGCTCCAGAGACCTAGCCCAATATATTTCTCGGCTCAAGAAAAGAAACTTGGCCACAGTAGTTGGTACAAGAGCACTCCTTGAGTACTTCCCAGAGAAGAAATTCTAGGAAGTACATTTCTAGAAAGTAGGGTAACTTAGAAAATGCAACTGGCCTATACAAGTAAAAAGACATGGGTCCCAGTCCTCAGGGTCATCACCAGCTGGGACCATAAGCAAGTCACTCAACCTCTCCAAACCTCCACATATCACCTGGAGGTAGACTGAATGATTCTAAAGTAAAATGCAATTACAATTCTAAGATACTCTTGTTTTAGTTGTTTATATGTTAAGATTCCCCCAGTTGATAAAATTGATAACATGGGCTGGGTCTTATTTATACCTGTGCCCTCCATGGTGCTAACAATTCTCTGGATACAGTAGCTCTCAAATAGAATTAACGGTGGGAACAGGTATTCTTTGATAGAATGAATTTACACATCAAGTAATCAATATTGGTCATCTTCTTTTGTCTCACTAAGGCTTCACATCATCCTCAATTCAGACCAACCTGCACACTAAGAATAAAGCCATTGCTTACACCAACCTTCTCTCACACTGTAGTAAATGCTCGCAAAGAGTTCACAGCAGCATCATAGTGTATTTTTCCACATTACTTAGACTATAAAAGTATAACTTTGCTAAAAGATTGATGTAGATTAAATGGTGTTTTCCTTTTTTTCAAGCACTCCATAATTTTCTAGTGAGTATTTATTCTTTCTTAAAATAATAAAAATTGTCAACTTTCCATATTTCCTGGCTAACAATCTATGTTTCCATTAGATTAATCCTTAATCCTTACTTTTCACCCTATTTACTTTTAGAAGACTCCAAATATTACCCAATTAGCTGCATTAAAACCAATTTATTTGACTACAACCTCCAAAGAAGCCCAATCCTTCATTCCCCTCACCTTGGTGGGATAGACAGAGGTGGAGGGAAAGGCCACCAGGGTGGTGAGATCAGAATAACGTCGCTCTATGGTCTTCTTGGTAGCAGGACAGTAGTGGACACTGCGGACAACTTTGGGACGAACTAGAGAGCCTAGGAATGGAAAACGTGCATATACATTCATCCAACTAGACAGTGATAAAGGTGGGACCTCACCCGGGCAACCCTATGATGACTCCAAATACTAATGTTCCAACTGGTTTAAGCTATTTGAGTAATACTTGTCATTTATTCACCTTTACATTTATATATAAAACATCACCATACCCATGTAAAACTTAAAGTACATCCGATCCCAATTGAGAAATGGAAGTTCAGGGTTAGAAAGAGGAGACTGCCAAGAGCCAAGATTCCTCCACTCTGAGCAGAACTCATTATTCTGCTGGCACGGGCGGTCATTCAAGGTCCTCTGGATCCCTGAGCTCCTCCAAGTTTCACCTGGTAATTTCATGCTCCACTTTTCTGATGCCACAAGCTGCCCTGCTCTATTCCACCTCTCCTGCTTTCCCAGCACCTTTAAGTCTATCCCACCTCCATTCTGACTCTTATTTTAACCCACTCACACTTAGTGACAATGCCCTCCACACAGACTACACAGCTGAGGAAGCAGGAGGTCAGAGTCCGGGGAGAGACGTGCTTGGAGCCAAAGCTGCCCTCCAGTCCTATGTAGAACTCCTCATACTGCTTGGCATAGGTGGCATCAATGGAGGCCACAAAATCCTTTAAGGCCCGCTGGAAGGCAACCAGCTCCTCAAAGGCATTGTTCAGGAGGCTGCATATGGACAGGAGAAAAAATAATTAGGCAGAGAGGACAGAACTCAAAATAACTGACCCTCAAAACAGAAGCAGACCTGCCCTGAAATTTTTTAAAAATGATTTTAGAGAGAGAGAAGAAGGGGAGGAGTGGGTGGGAGAGAGGGAAGGGAGAAAGAGAAACATCAATTTTTTTATTCCACTTATTTATATATTCATTGGTTGATTCTTGTATGTGCCCTGACCAGGGTTCAAAGCAGCAACCTTGGTGGATGTACACCGACAATGCTCTAACCAACTGAGCTCCCCGGACAGTACACAGAAGTGGACACCCTTAAATGATAAAGGCCAGGGAGTAAAGGTGAAGCAATGAGAGCTTCAAGGTCGAAAACATTTCAGCCAGTTCCAAAGTGGGGAAGAGAGAAGGGAGCCATTCTCACCCAATGCCAGGATATCCCCTTCGAAACATTTGCCACTCACCGATTAGCCCTCTTCTCATTTTTCCTGCGTAGGTCATTCACATTAACAATCAGCCGATACTGGTTGTCGCTGATCAGCTCCCGAACTTTGCTCTGATAAATTCCCTGGTCTTCCTGCAAAATAGCCACCACCACCACAAATAACAATAGCCACAATTCAAAAGTGTTTTTAAACAGAGGCAGCTCTCAAAGCAAGATAAATATCAATCTCTGCAATAGAGCTGAACCCCAATTTCTGCCATATTGTCACTCACTAGCCTCAGATTCTATATACACCCAAAAGGAATAGTGCAGAGATTATGACTTCCTCAAAGTTCATGCTATTATTTCTATCATCAACAGCTTTTGTCATTTCTCAATCTTTAATGGGGAATTAAAATGAGTCCATAATTAGTATAAAAGGACAATAAATGCAAACGTTGTTAAAATGTAAATTAAGTGGGACTTTAATATTCATATTTAAATGAGTTCCCATTTAAAAATTATAGACATAATTAAAGCATTTTAATTCCTAGTCATCTGTATAATACAGAAACAGTTCTCCTATCTAAACTAAACGAGTTGGGAGCCTCAGGTATTTGTTTATGGATACAGCATCAGCAACCTTCAAGATGCTTTACCAGCATTCTATGGCTTTCAATCTGGGATAGTACACAAAACCCCTTCACCTGCGTAACAATCACTTTTTCTCTGCATCTCATGTAGTACTGAAGAAGAATGCTGCCAAATGAGGAAGTCGTGATTTTCTCCTCCCAGCAGAAAATCAGTCCCTAAAACCTGGGACCCTCAACGCAGCGGATCACTACCATCCTATAGCAGAGTTTCCCCCACCTAACCCCCCAAGTTAAGAGAGCCGGGAATGATTTCCAAAAGGTCCAAGTGGACTTTGCCGTTTTGTTTGCATTTGAAGAAAGCCTGTCAAATTTCCCGCGTCCTGGCCATCACTCCTACTTAAGAGAAAGTCGCAGGACGACTCTCTAAGGTTCAAGAACAGAAAACCAAGTAAGAACTGACTCCACCAGGAGAAACTTAGAAGATCCGAGTGGAAGGCTCCTGCTCCGGCCGGCCTGGCCCACCTCTACCTGCCGGCCCGTTCAATGCCCTGCAGGGAGCGGAGTTCAGCGTGGCCAGCCTCCACCTGTTCTCCCCGCAGGCTCCAAGTTCCCGAACCTCGCAACCCAGCGCCTCCCTCACCTCGTCATCCAAGAAGTCCAGGTAATCTCTCTGCGCCTCCCGCAGCTCCACGTCGTCCAGTACTACGGTCCCCGCCATGCTTGTCAACTCACAGCTACCTCTTCCAGAGCCACGCAGACCGTCTTGGGTGACCCCGCCCCGGCGCGAAAACTTGCGAGCTTTTCCCGCCACCAAAAGTTACGTGAGGAAGGGGCAGAACCTCTGGGAGGATGTACATATTCTGATTGGTTAACTCTTCTTACCCAAAACCAAATGCTACCCAATCGAGAGCTTCTACTTCGCGTTCACTAGCGGCGCCAAGTGGCCGCAGGAAATGTATCTGCCTGGGCGCTGTGTTTCTCCCCTCCCTGTTGCTCCCCCACTGGTGGGAAAGCTGACCAAAGAGGGCCGAAAGGAGGCTCTTCGAGACTACTCCACGAGCAGAAGGCGGGTGAGAACTGGAAGCTGTGCATTCTGGGAGTCGTAGTCTTCCCCCCCTTTCCGGATGTTTGGTGTTTTTCAATCACTCGTAAAGTCACCGCCGAACCGGAAACAAACTGGCAGACGGTAGCACTGGAAGACTAAACGTCAGCGAATGGGGAATTATAACGCAAGGAAATGAAAACGTAAAAGCAAATAGTTTTTAAAATATACATTCAAATCAAGTGTGCTGGATATCTTTCTTAAGCAGCATCCAGGGAAATAAAGTGAATTTTGAGAATCTGAGATTGAGAATAGAATCATAGCACCTTTATGTATGGTTTTGTAGTTCAGCGACCCATTCGGTAACAGAATACCGTTGCCTGAAATACCCCGTAAAAATATAAGGCCGCGGAGGAGCGTGAAGTGAAAGAGAAATTTTCGGTGTCTACCCCGCAACCCTAGAGAAGGCCTCATGTGTTACACAAAATTTTGGACATAATTACTACACCATCTTTCAAACGGGTAAGTTAAAGGCTTTCTCGCCTTATAAGATCACGGGGTCTCTTAAAATAACAGTTAGTGAAAGATAAACACATGAAGAAACAAAAAAAAGGGGGGAGGTGTCAAGACACTCTTAAATACCGATCAGTAATTAAGATAAAGCAAGTCTGAAATAGAAAAGAGCCGTTGCATTTCCAAGTTTTGTTTGTTTTTGGCCTTTTACAGCTTTTAAATATTTTTTAGTTTTACATTTGAGTTATATACAGCAAAATGCACAAATCTTAAGTCTATAGCTCAATGAGACTTTATTATGTATAAACCCATGTAACCACCCAATGCACAGTAAGGAACAGTCTCATTACCCCAGCATGTTTTTAATTTTATGGAACAGGAAATGAAAATACCAGATTGACCAATACTAGCTATCTGTTAATTCTATATCTGAAGTTTTGGCCAACTACTTATTAGCTTTTTTAAGGTCTGTAAGACTCATTGTGCCTGTATTCTAAGTATAATCTGCCTAAACAAAATAAATATGCTATCTATTTGTATGTATATGTATTTTTAGTTATTATGCAGATTAGGGTATTGTGTCATCCTGGTGGGCAGGTAAATCTATCCTTAGAGGAAAAAATACCAGTCTTCTCTGACTGCTTGCTTTTCTTTAACAGGCCAAAAACAGAAAAATCTAGAATGAGGATTCTGTTTGCAATTATATAGTAAGGAATAATTACTTATAACTTAAGAATGTCTTTATCACTTGATCACAACTGCCATATTATGGATATATTGAAGGCAATACTGACAATATTTTCTGCTCTGGAAAAACTTGAAATTGACACTGTAAGAACTAGGAAGCTTAGTTCAATGAAAAATAAGTAACTTGCAATGGAAAGTCCAAAGTAGTGGAAGTATGAAAACCAAATCTTTGAATCTAGCACACTTCTCTGGGCTTCATTTTCTTCATATAAAATATGAGGAAATTAGAAAAAATTCTTAGTAATCTATCCCACTCAAGCATTCCACGAACCTACGGAGAACTTGGAGACTTGGAGACAATTCCATTTATCAAGTCTTTAATATCATCATCTTCAGCCATGAAGGACATACAGATATTTAATTGGTGTTTTTCCCTTCTTAACATTGGGGCATGAGATGTTTGAGCAGGGAAAGGATGTTTCCTTTGTTATCTCCTGCTCCTTCAAATTGCAGAGAGAATAATTGATCAGATTGATGCTTTAAAAAAATTAGAAGCATTTGCACATATCTCATACAGAGTCTAGCTGAGTTTGGCCAAAGGTTCTCCCTGCTTCTTACTCAAAATAAAGAAGCATATGTAATCTGATAAAGTTGTATATCTATGGTTTTCTTTTTTGTTCACATTCTTGCTTTCCCTGCGTATCCATTTTCACTCCACTCTTGGCCTTGACAGACCTAAGTAATCTCCAAAGCTAAACACTAGGGAGCTCCTTGGAGAGCAGAAGTTTGCAGGAAGATTGGAAAATAAATTGCTGCATTTGTAGTACTTTTACTTTTCTGTGTCCTTGGGGGAATAAAAAGTACCCAAAAGCATAATGTAATTTAAAATTTTTAATAAGTATTATTAAATAAATATCATTTATGCTTACTAAATGATATACATATGCATGTATATATGTCCTTATTGAAATCAATGAATAATATTCTATGTTGCAGAACTTTTCAAACAATACCCTAAATACCCTACGATTAATAACTAGCCTTTAGCATTCAAGAAAGCGCCATAATCCATTACAGTCCTTTAACGTTCAAAGGCCACAAAAGCTTGGAAGTCAAGAACTACCTCTCTAAGGCCAGAGCAGTTTAAGGAATAACCTGCAGGCCCAGGCTTGCCCTGGCCAAGCAGATTGTTCTCTTCTGTGATAGGGACAAGTCAGAATCTTCCCCTGATGCTGTAGTGTAGGGTCATAAGCACCAAGACAAGCAGATTTTCTTAACTTAATTACTCTCAGTTTTCTAACCTTTAAAAATATAAAGACAGAGGCATGGATACATGGAACAGACTGACAGCTGTCAGAGGAGAGGTGGGTGGGAGGGACTGGATGAAAGAAGGTGAAGGGATTAGCCAAAGAACATATATGCCTGACCCATGGACAAGGACAACAGTGTGGTGATGGCCAGAGGGAAGGGGGGCAAGGACAAGAGGAAGCAAAATGGGAACATCTGTAATAGTATGGGCAATAAAAATAAAGAAAAACATAGAAAGTTTGGTATGAAAAAAATAGGATAGAAGTTATATCTAGTTCAAAGAATGGTTTGAGTATTCAGTGAGCTAATAACATGAAAGACTGAAAAATGTTCCTGGCATGTAGTAAGCACTAAATAAATGGTGGTGGTAGTGGTTGGAGAGGGATCAAGAGATGTTGAAGAAAAAAGGTGGGGGAGCAGCCTGGTACATTCCTTGAACAATTCAGACAACAAAACTCAAGCCACTCTTCCCACTCCCACCAAATTTGATAATAGAACCAATGCAAACACTGTTTTGAGGACTTTGTTTGCTGTAAATCCAACTGGCTAAAGGAATAATACATTCATATGGGCCACAGTATACACGGTACACTCAGTACACACAATAGTCTGGTCCAACTCTGCTGGTGTTGAAAATCATCAGAGGCATTTGACTTATGCTTAATGGGAAACCAAATGGTCCCTGGAGTTAGCCACTGTGTCTTGTAAAGAGAGGAGAGTCCCATAGCACCTGCCCCTATCTCTTGTTTCCTAGAAGCCTTTAGGTTAGATGTGTTACAAAAAGCAGGAAAATCCAGAAACCAAAAGATATCAGTGACCCTAATTTCTCCATTAAATTTGACAACACAGTTGGGGTCTACCAACAACCTGTGATTCATTGTCATTTGCCAATGTTAATTTCAGCAATCAGGTTTCTTAATCCCTGAAAAGTCATCCCCATTCCTAGTTGCACAATTTCATTGAGAATGTGTTTGAAGAATTTTGCTTCAGTGCTTAGATCCACAGATTTGCAGGGGAAATTACCCAAAACTTGTTGAGTGAATATGAATACAGTATGTAAGATTCTCTAATAACTTCATTCTGTAAATCTGTCTAGATATAAGTGCATTTTTAAAAAGTCATTTTATTCTCTATAATGTGTCAATGCAATGAAATTAAAAGATTTAGCCATATCAACCAATCAAATATCAGTTGAGCATCTGTATACCTAATTCTGCCCCTGACCAGACACTCTACATCAGTGCTGCCCAGCAGAAATATAATGCAAGTCACATATATAACTTAAAATTTTCTGGTACCTACATTGTAAAAAGTAAAAACATGTTAAATTCATTTAATAATATATTTTATTTAACCCAATATATCCAAAATGTCATTTTAACATGTAATCAATATTTTTAAAGTATTAATGAGATATTTACCTTTTTGTGCTAATTCTTAAAAATCTAGTGTGTTTTTTATACTTCACCTGTCTTCAGACTGGACACACTTCAAGTATTCGATCATATGTGGCTAGTGGCAACCATACTAGCACAGCTTTAGGGTGTGAAAATCTATCTCTTGAAGTAGCTATGATTTAACTTGAAATAATAGCAACCATTTATGGAACATGTACTATAAACCAGATACTATGCTATGCACATTACCACATGATCTCATTTAATCTTTCTAATACCTTGTGATGTGGTTATTTTTAATCCTCATCTTACAGATAAGGAAACTAACATTTAAAATATTACAGAATCCTACACCAATAAGGGACAGAGGCAGGATTTGAACCCAGGTCTATATATATGGCTATATTGAATAGCATTTAAAAACAAATGACTATTTAAGATTCAGTAGGATATACCTAAATGTTAAGTGAAACATTCTATATTTTATACTGTATATTTTAAAATACTTTAATCAACTTTTAAAAAGACAGTCTGTTGTATTCTTAGTGCATTGTAGTTTTTCTTTCTCATTTTACTTTTTAGGTGTAAAGAGACATTTCTCTGGACATGATGAATACCTTCTGCTGATTTACAGATAGGCTAGCATCCGTGTGTCTCCTGGAACATTTGTGTATTCATTCAATTGATCAATTATGTGTGAGTTGTGTATGAGACAGTACATCAGGCACTATTTACAATCAGTTCTTATTCTATGTTACCCTTCAAGTAAACTCTGTGTCATCATTTTGAAGTTTCAAAATACTTTAAATGCCTGTCATTTGTCATTATTCAAACAACAGGGCTTTGAGATGCTATATGTACTCACACTATAAATAACGCTGTGGGTATTTTTATTTAGGTCATAGGGGAGGTACAAAGATCAAAAGTTTACAATCTAACATGGAAAACAAGGTACAAGCAGAAATAATCCTGAGAAAAAGCAACCTGTGTGTAGGCATGGTCCAAAGTGCCATGTGCAGTAAAAATGGCAGGTGTGACTTACACAGGGGTGATGAGGTAAAGCTAAAGAGAGGGGGTAGTATTCGATGTGAGGATCAAAAGGTGGGCAGTGTTTCTTCTAGGGAGATGGGTCAGCAATGACATTGAAAGCAAAATGTAAAGGCAACAAATGACCAAATCCTTGGGAGACTAAGGTAGCTAGGATGAAGGGTCAGCCTAAGAGGTCAGTGCAAGATAGGACTGGAAGCAGTCGGGTGTACTGGGCCTGGCTGTAGAGGACACTGAACAGCAGAGGAAGAAGACTGTGCTTGATGCAGGAGGCAAAAGAGGGTCATTGACAACTTGTGAGCAAAGGAGAGACTATCAATTGTGCTTTAGGAAGATTAATCTGGCTGGAGGATATGTATAAGGGGTTATTTAAAAAAGAAAAGAGGTCTGAAGAGGTGTTCAGAGAAAAGACAAAAAGAAAAGAATGAGACAGACATTTCAGAGGAAAAATGGACAGATCTAAGGCTCTTTGGATGGAAATCAGGATGAGGGAGAGAGAGGAATAGAAATTACACATGTGTGTGTCAAATAAATGCATGGGCCTCACACACCATGCCTCAGGGGCTTGCA